ATTTGAGAGTGTTTCTCCCTTTTTAGGAAAAGTATCGAAAAAGTATCGAATTCGCAATTCTTGACTTGGTATCGGTATCGAAACAATAATTTTGGTATCGTGACAACACTATTTCACATGCAAATAATTAACATTTTACAGTATTTATACATGCAATCGGCACAAGATAGACGCTTACAGTTCTTTGTAGCCTTTTCTATTTTTATCAGTTTATTTGTATCATCAAACTCATTGCATAACCCTCTAACTGTGCTTGTGAACATCTGTGTGAAAATGCATCGTTTGGAGCCTGAGGGAAAGAAAGAGGCAGAGAGGGAAAACAAGAGACAGATTTATATTGAACCCGGCGTGACCCTGGAGTTATCAGAACCACAGCATGTTTTACACACTGTCTACAGATGGGCCAAAGGCCAAATGGAACAGCTTCAAAGGCTGCGCTGGAAAGTCACACTAACACACACACATCAAAACAAACTCAAATATACTTCACACATACTGCAGTTCACCTGGTGAGTGAGGCAACCACAAAAGCTCACAGCCGCTTCATACTGAGAATTTTATCACACAGTTCAATTAGACTGGAGTATCAGACATTTTAAGTAGAACATTTAAAATGTTAGTTTGTTGGAACATTGTGTTAATTACAATTAAAAGCTACAAGGAACTTGCATTTTATGTTGATTCTGGATCAAAATGGATGGATAACAGATATTCGTTGCAAGACTTCCTCTGCAGTCTGATTAGCAACTTGATATGCAAGAATGACGACAAAGACACTTTTCTAATCTCTATAAACGTATGTCATTTTCAGATGACAGCCAATTGGTTCCCAGATTGCATTTCGGCCAATGTGTCCCACCTCTTTTGCTGTCCACACAGACTGTTTACCTGCTTGCAACCAAAGCAGGCACAAATGTGATTTGGTCAGTACAATCGGACTACCAATGGAAACTATAACAAAGCTCAAACGAACAAAGTGAACGGCATTATGAGTGTATAAGAGTCTCCCTCTGATGTATTTGAACGTGTTGTTAAAATTACAAGTGGATTTATTCCTAAACTGCCTGTTATAGCTCACAAAGAAAATCATTTGACAAATTGTAGTTTCAGATCATGATGGCATGGAGCTCATGCTGTGGCATTGTGGGATTTGATGTTCAAGCAAACAAACTGTGTGTAAGTTTCCATTGATGGTCTCCAGGAGAGCCTTGTATGGGTTTCTCCTCCCCCGAGGGGTTCAAACGCTGGGCTGTGTAGCCGGGAGCAGTGTGGTAGACAAACATTGGTCTGGAGGTGGCAGAGCATGGGGCTAATTACTGTGTGTCTGTCTTTCTGTCTCTCTGTGGGTGTAAGGCAAACAAAAGTTCTTAAACGTTAAATTAGAAACAAATCCCTAAACCCACTGTGCCAACCCTGATTAAGAGGACTGTGTCCAAAACTCACTCACATAGTCATGAATTCATTCTTTCAATCATTCAATCATTAATGCTTTATTTCATTAATGGTTCGCCTGTCTGCCCTCTAGAGTTTGTTATCAGCTATTGCAATATCCTTTGACAGAACACTGAGTGAATAGTCACTCTCTACCTCTGAATGATGGGAGTTCTAACCTCACAGAGACTAAAGTAGTGATGGTGCATTTGGACAGTTGCCCTCAAACAGTCTTATAATTGGGGATTCTAGGAGGCTTATTATGCTTGAAATTAATGTTTGTAGAGGGTATTGTGTCACCATGTATGAGGCAAAAGTGGTTTAGAGTGTGCAGGGCCTCAGATCATAGCCTCCCTCTGTCTGTTTCCCAATGCCTCCCTAGTCTCTCTCCATGAACTCCCTATTTTAATCACACAACGACAAGCACAAAGAAGTAGGTCTGAGTGCACAGACCGTGTGAGCAGCAGCGCAAAGTGCAAAAAGGGCTGGGTAAAGCCAATCTCTGTGACACATGACAACAGTCACCTAACAAATGGAAGAATGATTCTTCAGGAAGTCTTCAGTGTCTTTTGTTTGTTTTTGAAGTCTTGATGCAATGAATCATAAAAATGGGGATAACAGCATACACTTTCAGACAGTCTATCTTTGGAGACATTCATAGTATTGCAAGATTGAAACAGAGAGAAAAAGTACCTTCACACCTCCACCCACCTGGCCAGTCACTGCTTGAAGTGGGTGCCTTTGTGGGATTCAGACGCTGTTCAACAGACTGACAAGCACTCCACATCTGGAGCACACTGAACCCATAATGGAAAACTGGGAAAACATTTACATTTTTTTTCATCACATGATGGACATGGCGGGGGACAGTTCACCTCTGGGTCTCCCTAATGGAACAGACAAGGGGGGGAACGGGGGATCCACTGTAAGTCAGTCACATCTCGCTCACTCGAAGGGGGTCTTGCCCAGGGTGTCATTCAAGATAGAACCGCCACTGCATTTGGCCATACCTCTACCATACACCTCTAACATGCAGATAGTGAAAACAAATTTCCCTCCTGGACAATAAAGGCTATCTGTTTATCTAGATAGTAATGCAGTACAATGCAACATTGTCAACAGTACAAGCAGATGTAATGTGTTAACAATTTGATTTTCATACCTCATTGGAAATCAATAAAAACAAATTGCTGCCTTAAAGGAAGGCAAAACAAAATAGAACAGTAAAGTTGTGATAGATGGGTTTTGTTCTTCTAAGCCTGAAAAAAAGGACTGCATGTATCCTTTGGAACTTTATTTGAAACAAAGATGAAGAACCCTGATTGTATGCACTGCAGCAGGCCTGACTGAACTGCCATCCTCCATTACTGAAGTAGGGAAAGAGCTTTAGTGAGTTGCCCTTAGTAAGAATTAGCTGGTTGCCACATTTAGCTTTGGTTTTGAAGGAAAACCACCATTTTGGGCTTAAATCAAGTTAAGCATCCAGGGTTTTACACACACACACACACACACACACACACAGTTGCTTCAAGATAAACAAAGCATCCACTCATCAGCAGCAAATGATGGAACCACACCCAGGACTTTTGCCTGGAATCTTCTCGCTTTAAACCACCAATTAGCTGACTCACTTGAGACCAAACCCACCAATCAGACATCAAAGACACTTCCTGGTGCAGTGGAAGGGGAAAACAGTCCTCACATTACCCAGAGGGACTTGAGCTCCCTCTGTAAGGCCTACAAGGCTACAGTTTCCAGCACACCTCGTCCTGCAAACAGCCGCAGTGCTGCTTTTGTTCTGAGCACATATTTGTAAATCATTTCATATTATTTTTAATTTTTTAAATAGAAACCAACTTTTATTTCACGTGTCCACAGACCGACAGAGCTGTTCCGCAGCTGTAACATACAGTCAGACCAGGGCGCCATGAACGACATCAAGCTGTGGTCCAATGGGACAATCAAGATGCCCTTCATGAACATCCCCGTGCTGGACATCAGAAAGTGTCTGCCGGACATGTGGAAGGCCGTGGCCTGTTCCCTGCAGATCAAACCCTGCCACAGCAAGTCCAGAGGGAGTGTCATATGCAAGTATGTGTACTACTACCATTGTACAAGTGACAAGTTACTACCCGGTAGTAACTGACCTTTGACCAATGTTGACAGATATTTTGACTCGTCAAACACAGGGATCATTAATTGTTGCATTACATTCCAAAAGTTGCTACACCTGCTGTGACAAGTCAAAATGTCTGTTGTTCATTCACCCATTAAGTAACAAAAGTACTCTGATGCTGGCTGTCAAGGTTATTGCTAGATTCAAGCTAGCCAGATTTACTCAGAGAGCTAACCAAAATGTAAAGATAAACCCCATTCTGACTGGATTTAGTTTAGCAGGGTGTTTTTAACATCACCTCTGCTGGTCAGTAAAATTGTATGGCTAATGTTGTCACCCTCCTCCCAAAAAATACAGCCAAAATTACATGTACCTACTATTCTTCAGCAAACTTGCTGGTCCTTGTATTTTAAAGTGGATCTCTGAGATTTTGCAGGAGAAACCACTTGTCAGCTCAGTGTGATTTAAAAAAAAAACAAATTGTGCAAATATAGAAAGTCCAAAGTTGTTTTCGCTAATCTGGAGAAACATGCTAAAACCAGCATATAGGCCCGTTTGGGAACCAATATGAAGACAGAAAAAAATTAAAGCCATCATGAGAGATAGACCCTGTAGAAGCTCCTCAACTGGGTTGTTATAATGTCTGCTACAGGTAGGTAAGTTGAGGTTCCCCTGTGATAGACAGATGATTGATCCAATCCCCTGCCTGTCCTGACCTGCACAGTTAGTTTTCTTTCAAGCCTATATTTGTTTACATTTTGGTAAACTGGCACTA